CTAATGCATCTTTTTTATAGTAACAATATCCTAATTCAAAGTCTCCTTTGAATTTCTTGCTTGTCTTCAACAATTTATGATATTATTATGAGATGGGGTCTTAAAGTGCCCCTAACCCTTCAATTTGTTTTCTTTTGGTAGATTTCCATATCTTTCAAGAACTCATTTTCGAAAAAAATTTTCAGAAATATTGAATCCTTTTTTTGCGAGCGCTAAAAGTGAAGGCATTCCATTTTCACCTATCATTCGCATTAGTGACCCACTCGGCCAAATGTGTCCAAATATGGAGCATGGCGTAAGATAAGGAATCGTGCAAAAATATACGAAGATTCGGGGTAATGCTTTTTTGTTAAACAGAGAAAATGGTTGAAAAATGTGTGGTTTTTCGATGCAGCAGCTCTCAAAATAAAGAGAAAGGAATCAGCATGCATAAGATTCCTTCTGATAGCGATCCGAGGACTGAAGTCCGTCGAAGAAGACAACGATGGATAAAGTTCGTGAATGAGACGCGCAAACACTGGACCGTGCCCAGGAAAGACTTCTTCGATATGCTCATATGCATTTCAAGCCCGAAGACTTTACAAGACCTTTTCACTCTTATCTAAAATGAGCCCTTAGGGAAGATGAATTTGGAGTTTGTGTTTGGCCAACTATCCATGTTGGAAAAGGAGCAAGTGAAAATGAGCATCAAGGTTCCCCAACAAAACGACAAAAGAGAATGGCAAGTAATTTTCTATTAGACCTGCTATTGTCACCTTGGCTTAGTCAAGTATTATATCAAATTATGAGCAACATATGTCTTCCTTTATAGAATGTCAGATTCGTGCTTTGGAATGGTGCCCTTTTCTTATGTCACAGCTAAAAAAGTGTCAAATATCGGACGCTTCTCATTGGCTCGTTCCTAATGAGACAAAAATTTGTCTAGCGGGGCTTATGGCGCGCAAAAATTTAAAAATTTCAGTAACTTTTAGCGCTCGTAAAAAAAAGGATTCAATATTTCTGAAAATTTGTTTTGAAAGTGAGTTCTTGAAAGATATGGAAATCTACCAAAAGAAAACAAATTGAAGGGTTAGGGGCACTTTAAGGTGTGGGGGCCATAAAATGTCCATATCAGTTATCGGCATAGTGAGGAACAAATTATTCCATCACTGCTCAAAGCTGTCATTAGTCCAGTAAAATCAGCCACTTACTCTGACTTTGAGAATGAGTCAAACATAACAAATATAGGAGGATCTGTGAGATAAAAATGACCATGCCAGCTACTTTCCCGGAGAGACTAGCTACTGTAAACCTTAATGACAGCCCCGATTGCTTTAAAATGAGAATATTTTTCAGTTTGCATTTAATTAAGCAAATGTTATCTGACATTTTACTTGTCTAATTTTTGGCAAAGGGTGTAGCGTTTTTTATTTTGCCCAGATTTGCGAATGTTGGCAGAGGCATTGTGTTGTTTGATCGGAGCTTGCCTTGACAAACTCTATACCATAAACTGCTGCTACAACCAGTTGCAAAAGTATTAGAGACACTGTACTGTATTTTGGCTTAAATGGCCAGTCCATGATCTTGTGCTTGTGACCCCCCCTCCACCCCTTGTCAAAGTTGCTTGCAATACAAGGCAATGCTCAAAACTTGGAGGAACAACTTTGAATGGGAGGGAGGAGGGAGGTCAGTATTATATCTCACGGACCTGTGACTAGGAGCGATTTGAAGCATGAAAGGTTGTTTTTTTCGTGAGAGTGTCTCAACTTTTTTGCAACTAGTTGTAGTCTCTGGGCTAAAACATCTTCTTAAGAGGTTTTAGGATGTTCTTATAAAATGAGTGGGCTTAGCCAATGAGCTTAAAACAGGAATGGAAAAGGTGTTCTGGGAAACTGCCCACCTACCCCTCCCCTAAGCTAACATTAGCATGCACTTCTCACTTGGGACAAAATGTTGGGTTAGGGAAGGGGTAGGTGGTCAGTTTCCCAAAAACCTAAATTGACGCGAAGAAGCTATAAAAGTGTTGATCAAAGTACGTTTTGCACTCACTGGATTTAATTAAGCCTCAAAATATCATAATAAATCAAATTCATTTCAAGACGTTTGGCAGGGGTCTTGTTGTGTCCAGAGGCTCATAATCAAATATATTTTTTGTTTACAAGTAGCTGGGCCTGCAACCGGTGGGAGCTTTATAAAATGACAGTTTACAGTATATCATTCAATCTCAATCATTCACACTGCTTATTAAAAAACATTATCATTCAATGCCAATTTTTCTTCCTTTTCATTAGTCGAGAGTTGCAATGTCGTCTAGCTGTGTCTGGCTGCAAATAATATCCTGCTCATGTGTAAATGAAAAACCACACTTTTCTCCTTCTTGCGGATTGCTCTTGCATGAAAATTACAGATCGCTTTGCAAATAATTGAAAAAGAAACTCGGTGATCAAATGATAAAACAATTATTGATCTTGGTTATCATGCAAAATATTGGGATTTTTATTATTATTATTTGCTTCAGCCTTTGATCTGCTTGCCACTGACAAATCACAATATTTTGCTAAACCTCATCCAATAATTGTTAAATATTAAATGGTTCCTGGAAAAGTCATCTGTCATGTATTATAAATTAAAGAGGGATTGTTAGGGGTTATTTTGAAGCATTTTTCACAGCTGGTTTCCACCCCAGTTCTAAATCTTTTGTTTGTTGACTCTGAAACTATTTTTAACATGGATGGTGCCATTAAAATGTTTTGAAAACTTATGAATTAGTAATGATAACAGGACTGAGTAGAGTCCAATTCAGTCTGTAATCATACGAGTGATTTAATCACGAGTATGATTACAGACTGAATTGGAGGACACAAAGTTCTGTTACCAATTAATCATAACTCTAACAAAATTTGTGATATATAAGGCCCTTTTCTGAAATCAAAACAGAAGAAATCCAATTTTTTTTTTTGCTAGTAGTGAAAAAAAGCCATTTAAGCGCACACCTGATGGCGCGTACTGTCCAATTACTTAGGCATGACGCGTACTGTCCTATTAAATTGTCCAATTAAGGCTGAAATCAGGGCAGTGTGATAGCCAATCAGATTTGAGAATTTTGTTATAGTTATGATTATAATATTAATTTTGTTTTATGCAGTGGATAAAAGGGACAGTAAACGAGCTTTGTTCCAAGTAGAGAAGCTAGACTAGAGGGCAACGGCAT